TCAAGCCGAGCCGGGCCGGGCCGGCTCGGGTTTTTTATTTTTTTTTTTTCCATTTTTTTCCTTTTGGTTTTTTTTTTTTTTTTTTTTTTTTTTTTCAACTAGGTGAATGAATCCCCATTATGTTGATTGTTCGACTGATTTTATATCTGAAGCCTGAAGGTGAATTTACTGGCAGTGTATTTAAATTTTGGTTGCTTTGAGATTGTTTGTTTCATTTATAGTAGAGTTTTTGGGTCATTAATCTAGAGGGAAGATCCACGTATACGAGCACAAGGAAGCCATAGCAAATGTAATGTTACTATGTTGAAACCTTAAATGTCAATTGAGCAACACCTCCAAATGTCATTAATTTGATCATTTATTCCTACACTTAGCCATACATGGATTCAAATGGACAACTTCTAGACTAAGCACTTACTAAGAAAGAGGAAAAGAAAGACGGAAAATCTTGTTTATTATACTGTAAAACTCCTCTGCAACAAACATGCACTAACTACTACGTATTTGGTGTTGTAAACTTTTCCTTTAACCTTATAAAATGCGTCAGCAACTTGTTGCTATCAGGAAGACTTTCCTTTTATCATTGGTTCTTCCTCAAAGTTCACAGTCCATTCGCGTAATTGAGGCGAATTACTAGGTTCCAGAATTTGTATGCCCACAACTTCTGGAATGCATCCAAACCAGTGAACGATACAGCCAAATGACGAGTCCGGTAATCCAATTTTGTTCCCTCCAAAAATTTTCTCATCTCCTAAAGCCTGATCTTGGTGATTTTTTTATTTTTTATTGCGACGATTTAAATGGAAAGAAAATAAAGATTTTCAACACCAACTCGATACTGGTGTTAAATTATCTCAACCTCAAGGATAAGTCAATGCATGTTTGTAGGATATACAAACAATAGCATTGAGTAGAATAGCATTTTTGTTGCAAATGCGAAACGCACAAAAATAGGATTAATGATAATAGTATTTCAATAATAATTCAAAGACCAAAGAGACAATAATTATGTACGGAATGGAAACAAATGAAATGCAAACGAGAACATTTGAAAACATCATTTGAACAGAGGTAGACAATATGAACACATACAAATATTCGTTTTCAATCCAATATAGATAATATGTTTGTGCAAAAGTTTCACTTATTACCAATGTTACAACAACTCGGGTTTAATCGCACCTTATTTTTCTAATGACATTAATACCATCTGCACAGACAATGAGATAACAAGATAAATTTAAGAAGAATAGAACGAAAAAAGAAACAAGCCATCCATGTGGTCGAACTGAAGGACTCCCCCATAGTTGATCAGAAAACAACATTTTATTTGCTTGCAGCTGTTTGAAAAGTTCTCAGGAAGGTTTCCGGTGGTTGGCCTCCACTCAATTGGTGCTTTCCATTTATCTGTTGCAAAAATAGGTTCGTTTAGAATCTATAGTTTGCACAAATATTTTCATTGTTGGAAGTGATTTTTCCTCAACTTACCACGTAATATGGGACTCCGCTTATATTTGCTGAGTACTTCTGAAGTTCCTCGTTAACCTTCACGAAAAGGTAATTTTTTGCTGGTCACATTAATTAGATTAAGTATGCTAACTTTTTAGCCCTGTGTCTACCATTATTCAATGAAAATGAGTTTGGAATAGATAGTTTTTGGAAAATGTGAAAAAAAAAAAATGTTTTGAGTTTTCTTGCAAAATATTTTATCGTGAGAATGTGTGGTTGAACATGAATTTGACAAAAAAAGAGCTATGAAATAATGATAGACAAACAGGACCAACAGGAAAAAGCTAAAATCCAATCACAATGTTTAATCTTGGAATCATAGATATCACTACCCTACTTTCCATAACCTTGTTCTAGATCACAAAGGACTGGAACAAATTAAAAGAAAGAACAAACAAACAAACTATGCCCCCGTTTGGCCCCCATTATTTGGTATTATAATTTTTGGAACAATTTTCTTTAGGAGAATGGGTGGTTGAAAAATGAGGAAATTTTTTTTATTTACATGTAATATCATTTTATGAAAGATTGTGTGGTTGGAAATAAAAGTGAGAAACTATAATATGAAATAATAGGTGCCAAAATGGAGCAATATTCATAGCTTTTTGATGAATACGATTTCTTGTTTTGAAGACAAACCTCCTTCAGTCCATTGTTTGGATCTTCAAGAAACTCTGCTGCCCCTTCCAGTCCTACCTTTCTTGCAGACTCCACAAGAAATTGCCTTAAGATGTGATGAGACAATGGTAATCAAGTTAATCTCCAACAATATGAAACAATAAAAGCTTCGATTGACATTGAACTCCAGAAAGAAATTTAGCTACTCTACTGACCTGTCACCTATATACTTTCCCTGTGTGAAGTAACCAAGGCAAAGTTCTTCAACAAGTGCATGTTGCTTATCTGGCCCTTGTTGTCCAGCGAAATATATTAACCTATGGCTATCCAGAGTATTTCCCCTGCACATCCGAGACCCAATCAGTGGCATCTAAAAATGAACTTCCCTTCTATCAAGTTTAGTGTACTAGACTAGACAGTATCAGATAGAATTAAGTAAGAAAAAGAAGTAATAATCTTCTTTGTCGTGTGCAACATTGTTTAGTACCGAGTACCAAACATGGCCTTCACGTTACAACTGTAAAATCGCAATTTGCTTTGTGCCAAAAGTCATAAACAGAGTGTGGGAAGTGAAAAACCACCATCTTCTTTAACTCAATACTCAAGGTGGCTCCAACCACTTATTTTGTGAGTTTTAGCACCTCTGTAAGATATAGGAAGCGATGCATTATCAATTACTTGCCCAAAAATAATTTGAACTTACGTTAGTCCATCCCTGTCGTATTCCATCCCAAAACCCTTAAAGATCTGCAAATCACAATGTTTTGGAATCATATTACTTGTATGGAAGAGTTTAGAAGCAAAATAATTCTCTGACTGTTCAAGGAAAGGACTCAAGGAGAAGAATAAACCTCACTCATCCGAGACTCCATTTGTTCAACTCGCGGTCCAAACCTATTCCTGTAATAGTCCTTCTTAACAACACCTTCCTTGGGCGCGGAAGGATTAAGAAAATAGGGGTGCCATTTGATCTGCAACATCGAAATTCTCACTAATTATGATCTGAAGTTGGAAATGCATTGACAATAAGAAAAAAAATAAAACGAACCTCAAAATTGTATTGATCATTCGATGATGCTATAGCTTTATCGAGATTCTTTTTCCCCACAAAGCACCATGGGCATACAGTGTCTGCACTGACATCAATTTGAATAAGTTTCTTCGCAGGGCCGGCACTCGCTGATTGGGCCATGAAGCTGGATCTGCAGTTATTAGAACGTGTAATTAAGCTACGTAACATAGGAAAATTAACAACTCTGCACATCTTCAAAACCGAAATTGGTTAACCTCAACCCTAATAAAGCATTCAAGTCTTTCTTCTTTGCCTGTATCTTCTGAGCAATTAAGCAAATAAAAATGGATTAGGTTATACCCTTTACCTGCACTACAATTTAACAAATTATACTAATTTATGATTTGGATCAGTATATAGATAAGGAAATGCAAGAGCGGTTTCTTCTTCAGTGCACTTATTTACTAATTAAGCCGGCCCCCATTTTGTCAAAATGAAAATGGGTATAATAGTATTTTTTTGAAAAATGAGTGGTTGAAAAAGAATTTACATGTGTAATAATGGAATGAAATGAATGGGGTCAAACGGGTGCTAAATTGAACAACAAATCATCACCAAAAATTACAACTGCCTGAGGTTTACATTCTTATGGAGCGCTTCCACTGTCTTTTTAAGATTAAATCAACATCTAGCAGCAGATTATCAAAAATAGAATTCTGATAAACTAATCAATGATTTGATGAACAGAAAAAAAAAATTTATGAACAGAAAGTAACATTAATTTGATTTAAGAGAACTAACCTGGGAAACTTTCGGATCTGGAATTGCTGGAGACAACTCAATCGCATAACAGTGTCAATTCAATCGCTTGTTTCTGCACGATTTTGTTTTAGTCTAAAATATATATATTTAGTTCAAATTTGACTTTCCTATTAATCACCTTCTCCATTTCATACTGAAAAGTCAAAATAATAGTATAATAAGAAAGAAATAAAAAAAACAAGATTTCATTTTTGTTGGAATCTCAACGACCAACCAGACTGTTCATACGTGCAGGCCTTTTTTATTTTTCCTTTAAAAAATACAACATCTCTATTGAATTAAAGGTCACAATAACTTTACATGGTTCTATATGATTCTCATTCCAAGAGATTTGAACCGAACCATGAACTAATAGTTTTTTTGATAATGAAACTGTTTCGCGCGGGTGGTCGCTAACAATTAAAAAGGGATCAGACAATTGTGTAAGGAACAAACCTCTTGAAACAAAGTCCCAAAAAGGGGTGTTTTATTGGCGATGACTTTACAATTGGAACTAAACAGAATGCCTCCAAGGGGCGCAAGTACACGAGTACTCAAAATAAATGTTTAATTCTAAACTAAGAAATTGAAATTACATATTCTCTATTTGAGAGTGTTTGATTCGGGGTCCTTTGCTCTATGTCTTTTCTTCCTTTTATATTCCCTGAATGATCTCTTCGTGATCAACCGTTTAGAAACCGCTTAATTGCTTTATAACTGCCCACTTTCTTCATGGTGGCCAACTTATTGTGGAACTGCCGTCTCTAACTACTGCCACTACTTTTTGTCGTTCAACCGTCTTCAACTGAACATTCTTGAATCGTGGAACGTGATAAGATTACTTAATAACTGCTTCGATAACTGCACTTTTGGATAACCATAACATCTTATGTTTGCTAAGATCCTGGGCGATTTGAAGGTTTGGGCGAGAATAGGGTCATAACCCTAGGCGACTACAAGGCACTTCATTCGCTCAGATCTTGAGCGTCTTGCAAGTTTGGGCGATGCTGTTACCGCATTCGTGGGCTTCCACTGCATTCATTAATAACCCTATTTGGGCCTTTATCCTGAATTGTCCAGTTGGACTTCATTCTTTGGGCTATTCGATTTGGGCTGCACTTTTAGCGTGCCAACAATTACCCCCCAATATGGCAGAATTAATACAAATTATTAATTTTTGCCATATTCACTTTGTATTTCCCAGCAACATTTGAAATTCTCAAGAATTTCAATCATTATTTTCTTCCATAGCCTAAAAAGGCGCGATGTTGCAAACCCTTATAACCCCCAAATACACGCCATTTCATCGTACTACTAAATCACGCATCATTGTTTCGCGCTTCTCTCTCGCAATATTACTATTCATCTTCTTGCTTCTTTGCTACGTTTTTCAAGCAAACTTCAACAAAAGTTTGTTTCGTTCCCAATGGCTGCTTCACAATCCCAATCTGGTGACTCTTTCAGTTTCGAAGACTTCCAGAAAATCCTCACTCGGACATATATAACTCTGAACTTCCTTGCACCAACCAATGCCGAACTCAATGAGTTCTATCTAGGTCCTTCATTCAACAACGCCGAGGTCGTCGAATAAGTGGCGGTGGGCCAGCTGTTCCGTTGTACTCAAGGTCCTCCGTTTCTAAACTCTTTGTCGCTGAGGCCGCTTCGCAAAAGAGGTATTCGCACTTGGCCTAAATCTGATGTTGTTTTCCGTAGATGGCATGCTCGCCTTGTGGGCCATGGTCCTACCAAGGGAATTTTTGATAGTGCTAGGATTTCTGATTTGTTAGAAATCTCTCTTCAACTCCCTCCTTTTGATCCAGCGCTTTTCCCTATTGCTTTAAGTTTTTGGTCCTCTGAGTATAATACTTTTGTTTTCCCCCTTGGTCCCATGTCCATTACTATAAGGGATGTTGGGGCCTTAGTAAATCTGCCACCTTTAGGCGATACCATTTTCCCTGGTATTTTGATTTCTGGTGTCGCCCCAAAATTTAACAGAAAACTCATCGAGTCCTATTCAAGCCTGCAAAGCTGTTATAATCACTCGAGCGCTAAGCCTTCTCATGCTGAGCGTGTGGCCTTTCTTTAGATTTGGCTTTGTAAATATATTCTGTGTGTGCCAAGCATGAAGCCTTCTATGAGCTATTTACCCATAGCGCACGAATTGGCGCGTGGTAGGCCTCTGAATTTGTGTTCTTTCTTTTTAGCTGCCCTCTACTCTCTCCAATTCCAATTGAAGAATGATGCATCTCCCACTGGCAGTTGGCCTCTTTGGTTCACTCAAATGTGGTTGAGAGCCTATTTTTCATCACTTGGTGCTCTATCATTTTCCCTTCATTCTGCTAGCTGCTATGGGCTAACTATTGATCCACTGAGCCCTGTAAATATGTTCAGAAGGGACATCTTTTCATTCTTTTATACTTTGAATTCAATTCCTTCTTTCTTTCCTTTTCCTCCCCTTTTAACTCCTGATTATGTGCAACTCCTATCCACCTTGGATAGTGCGAGCATCTCTCTACTCGTTTGGGTTTAGTTTTTGACCAGGAGGAAGTTGTTCCATGATATTTTAACTGGAACTAATGCCAAAGTTGGGGTTGAAATATATGCTCCTCAATTTTTTGCTCGTCAACTTGGTTTTGGCCAAACTTGGCCTGTTCCCCCTTGTTATTCAAGAAATTTGATAGATCGCTTCTACACCATTAATAAGGCATAAGCAGAAGCTATAGATACTCGCAATATTCTTTTGACGAGTAACTTTTCATTAGCCCCGTTCAATCCTAGCCATGCCATCCATCCCCTTTTTGAACAACTCTGGCCATCAGTGAAGCGTAGATTGTTTGCAACTGATGCCAATCGTGCTTTCCATTCACTGGACCAGCCAGACATTTCTTCCACTTCTCCTGTTTTGGTCATCCCTGTGTCCATTAGGAGTCCTTCCTCTTCTGCTCGTGCTAAACAGTCTGTTCGTCCGTCTACTTCTCTTCCTATCAGCATCTCCCATTTTGGAGGATGATGATGACGACGACGATGATGACGACGATGACACTCCTCTCATCGTCAGGAGAAAGGTAATTAAATTAGTTTACTCACAAGCATACCTTTCTATACTTGAAACTTTTCTATATGCTGATGATTTATTCGGATTTCTCAGAAAAGTTCAACCTCTCCTTTAAAGGCTTTGGTGTTGGCAGCTCATACTCTATCATCCTCTGCTGAGGCTACTTCATCCAAACCAGCTGATGAAGGGACTATGCTTAAAGAGAAACCTTCAGTCCCAGAATCCTCATCACAACTAATGGATGAGCCATTTTCTTCCCAGGGCGTCAACCCCCCAAACGTCGAACCATAAGGTAATACATTTTTTGATGTTTTACCTTTGCTTGTACTATTGGTTTTTGATTTGTTGCTTTTTGAGTTCTGCAGATGCTCCCATGGGTTTGCCCGTTGTGACAAAGTCTTCTCGCCCAGACAAAAGGAAGTCTTCACAAGTGGTGGAGCCACAGGTGGTAAACTTGGCTGGGGATATGCCACCTCCCAAGATTACTGATGAGGTAATCTTTACTTCACTTTTACTTCCACTTTGTTTATTGTAGTGAAAACCTTCAATGTTGGGAGTTTTCTTTGCAGGATGCTGATAAGATTGTGCGTTCCATCCAGGATTTGTCCACTTCCTGGGGGCAAGTCAAGACGTCTTGCCCTGCTTCAACCAGTCGTCCTTCAGCTTCTTTAGAGGAAAATATGAAGTTCCTCAAGCAGTCGATATTTGAGTATGTGTCCTTTATGGATATAGACATCGGTCAGGCTAGTGCTGCCAAACATAAAGATAAGCTTGAGCATTTGAGTGCGAAGTTGGCACAAGCACTGATACTTCCGTCGCTCAATCTTTCTGCTGATTTTAAAGCGACGTTGAAAGTTGTCCATTCCGATATTCTCTCCTTGCTGACCAAAAATGTTGGACTGAAAGCCAAAAGTACTCAATATTTTCGCGCTGTATCTGAAAGAGAGTCTTTGCTTCTGGAGATCAACAAAGCTGAGGACGAATTGAAAGAAATCTCTTCTGAAGTTATGATTGAAGACTCTTTGATGACCAGTTTGGCTGCACAGATGAAGGAGCTTCAAGCAAGGATGGATGACTGCAAGACGAGAATTGCTGCTAAAAAACGTAATGCCTCCCAAGAAATTGAGCGAACCAAGTCTTTGGTCGAGCAGTACAAGAAGTTGGAGGTTGATGATGATTTTGTGGCTGAATTGAACGTCACTTCTTCTCAGCAGAGCGAGGATTGGGGGAGACTTAGGGAAATAATTCGTTCAGTCTGGGGCGAATTGTAATTAAGACATCTAATGCCTTAACTTTTCTTTTTGTAACTTCCTATTAACTTTTCCCTTGTAACCTCGTACTGATGTTCATTGGTAATTCTGAACATACCAGCAGTCATTATCATTAATGAACGATTAATTTGTCTTCTTGTGTATTTATTGACTTGTCTTTAATCATCAATCCCCAAAACATTTAACTGCTTTATGCTAAGATTCACGCACATTTTCTTTTGTTATTTCTGTCTCTTTTCCCAAGACTTCGGGCCATTTGATTATAGTTACTATGCACAAATGTGGCTGTTCATATTCTGTCTCTTCATCTTCACGCCTCTATAAATGCACTTATATTCCACACTTGTCATTTTCATTTCCATTCTCTTCTTCAAAACCAATTTGCTGCCATTGTTTGGCATTTTGACAATCGATCCAAAACCTTCATTTTCCATAGAAATGGATCATTTGATCCGCTCATTTTGCTATCTTTTTTGATATTACCTTTGGTATGGGAGATATAGGAAATATTCTTTGGTCAGCAAAGTTCTTCCCATCGTCTCCATGTTCCTTATAAGGAGTTCGATAATGGAAGATAATTTTTGAGGATGCCTGCAAGCCACCTTACTTGCTGAGAGTGCTTCTCAGCCTCCTTGCCCATTATTGCAGCGATGCATTTAAGAAGGCGATGTGAGGGTGCTTCTTCTTCCTTTCTGCTTGCTGAGAGTGCTTCTTAGCCTTTCTGCTTGCCTTTGTAGCTGTGCGATCAGGATGGCAATCCAGGCCAGTTCACCCTCTTACTCGACGATCGACCGGGAGATTAGTTTGCTCTTAATTGTAGCTTATAGAGCATTTAGTACTTTGTATTTTGCAACTTTGTAATGA